GAGAGAGAGAGAAGTAAGGTAACAGTATTCTATCTCTGATGGAAAATATAGCTTGGCAATGCTTTTGTAGGAGTGAAAATGTGTATATCGACACACGTAGATGCACACATACACAGCACACAAAACCATATGGATTCAACATAATGACAGAAAAGCATTTTCGGGTAGCATCTGTTTTTCAGGAAGGTGCCAGTTTGAAGGGGAACGTGAAGAAGATTGATGCACAGTTTAGAACAACTGCCTAGATCCCACCAAATATTTTTACATCATGTATTATGTTTATAGCGCAGTTTTCGACACATTAAATTAAAGGAAATGGCAATTCAGGATATATAAAACAGATGTTAGGCCTTGCAAATCATCTGGGGGATGTATTAACCATATTATAGATTCCTGAAGTCATTAACTTTCCTTTGCAAATGCGTAACGTGGTTTACCTGCCACTTTTGAAAATATATTTCCATTTGATTAAAGATAATGCACAATTTGAAAGGCCGGAAAGTGGGGGGAGGGGGTGGGTCTGCTTTAGAATATATCAGTGTAAGTTGCAGCATCTTTCTTGGATATGCAGTACTTGTCATAAACCCTCGTCTTTGGATTCGGCGTTATTTTTATTGTCATGTTCTTAATGAGACTTCCTTTTTCTCCCCGTGAACTTTTCTTGATGCGACTTTCATTTGCATGTAATCAGAAGTCAGAGGAAAGGATGTAATGGGGTATCTAAAAACTGGGAAGGATATCAAGTTTCTGCCATGCAATCATATTATTAAATCACCACTCACATCTCCTATCTTTGACTGTGCATATGTGTGATTCAGTGGTGGGATTCAAATTTTTTTACTACCAGTTCTGTGGGCGTGGCTTGGTGGGCATGGCACGGCTTGGTGGGTGTGGCAGGGGAAAATCTCCATTCCCACCCCACTCGAGGGGAAGGTTACTGCAAAATCCCCATTTCTTCCTGATCGGCTGGGACTCGGGAGGCAGAGAATAGACGGGGGCGGGGCCAGTCAGAGGTGGTATTTACCGGTTCTCCAAACTACTCAAAATTTCTGTTACCGGTTCTCCAGAACTGGTCAGAACCTGCTACATACCACCTCTGGTGTAATTTAGACTTCCTCACAACCTCATAGATGTTTTCCAAAAGAAAAAAAAACTTCACATTTTGGGAATAACGGAGAATAGTGGAATGGAATAAAACAGGGCTCTCCAAACTTGGCAACTTTAAGACTTATGGACTTCAACTGCCAGAATTCTCCAGTCACAAGACTTAAAGTTGCCAAATTTGGAGACGCCCTGGAATGAAGCGTATAGCAGTTTTCTTAGGACTGATCTTCACATCCAGCTTATTGTAGGACAAAGATACCCAGAAAACTGTTTCCAAAGGATGTGTCCTCTTGATGTCACCTCTGTGACATCCCCATCATGGTCTGAAGGTAGTCTGAAATCTTCTTAAATTGTTCTTTTCTCTTAAGGTGATGGTTTTTCTCTTCACCTGACACAAATGTTGGAGTATGGACTATCTGTCTACAATACCTTTGTAATAGTGGTGACAATGGGACTGAGATTAGCTTGGTTCCTATTGTCGATCTAAGTCTATAAGTATGCCAACTCCATGTCTGGTCTTTGGACTTTGCCCTCTGTAGCTGAAGCTCCAAGGTAGAATAGAAATCTGTTTTCCATAGAGGCATCTGCCATTACAGTGTCCAACTACTGCAGCACTTGCCAAAGTGCCAGTTAGACAATATATGCGCTTCTTATGAACTGATTTATCTGCTAGGACCTGCTTTTCAATGTAACTTGTGTTCAGTGGTGTTTCAAAAACCCACTTGATTTATTTGTGCTTTTCAAAAGGGATGCTGGTTCATTTAAACTGAGATGATTATGTCCCAAATGAATGTATTGCAGATTTTTCAGTGCTCTTCACAAGAATTGGTTTTGTGTGATTGTTCTACTTGTTTTAGAATAACAGAGTTGGAAGGGACCTTGGAGGTCTTCTAGTCCAACCCCCTGCTTAGGCAGGAAACCCTATTCAGACAAATGGTTATCCAATCTCTTCTTAAAAACCTCCAGTGTTGGAGCATTCACAACTTCTGGAGGCAAGTTGTTCTACTGATTAATTGTTCTAACTGTCAGGAAATTTCTGCTTAGTTCTAGATTGCTTCTCTACTTGATTAGTTTCCACCCATTGCTTCTTGTCCTGCCTTCAGGTGCTTTGGAGAATAGCTTGGCTCCCTCTTCTTTGTGGCAACCCCTGAGATATTGGAACACTGATATCATGTCACCCCTAGTCCGTCTTTTCATTAAACTAGACATAGCCAATTCCAGCAACCGTTCTTCATATGTTTTATCCTGCAGTCCAGAGGTGGAGTTCAGCAGGTTCTGACCAGTTCTGGAGAACTGGTAGTGGAAATTTTGAGTGGTTCGGAGAACTGGTAGTAAACCACTACAAATTGACTCTCATGATGGATCCCTTCTCTCAAGGACTATTATCTGCTTCAGAAATATAGGTTTTCATTTGTAGACCCCATCAGAGGTGGTATTCAGCAGGTTCTGAACAGTTTGGAGAACCGGTAAATACTGCCTCTGACTGGCCCTGCTTCCATCTATTCTCTGCCTCCCAAGCCCCAGCTGATTGGGAGGAAATGGGAATTTTGCAGTAACCTTCCCCTGGAGTGGGGTGGGAATGGAGATTTTACAGTATCCTTTCCCTGGAGTGGGGCGGGAATGGAGATTTTACAGTATCCTTTCTCTGGAGTGGGGTGGGAATGGAGATTTTACAGTATCCTTCCCCTGTCACACCCACCAAGCCATGCCTACCAAGTCATGCCATGCCCACAGAACCGGTAGTAAACATTTTTGAAACCCACCACTGCTCCAGTCCCCTACTCATCTTTGTCACTCTTCTCTGCACTTTTTAAAAAATATACAATTTTAGTATTTAATGATTGGGAATGCATCATGTTGAACATCCCACGAATATTCTCATGGTGTATTCAACATGATGTACCTTCAATACTCCAATATTTGAGGGGCTGCCACAAAGAAGAGGGAGTCAACCTATTTTCCAAGGCACCAGAAGGCAAGGCAAGAAACAATAGATAGAAACTAAACAAGGAGAGAAACAACCTAGAACTAAGGAGAAATTTCCTAACGGTGAGAACTATATCACTTGTCACCTCCCGACTGGACTACTGTAATGCTCTCTACATGGGGCTCCCCTTGAAAAGCACCCGGAGGCTCCAACTGGTCCAGAATGCGGCTGCACGGGTGGTTATGGGTGTAACTCGTTGTGCCCACGTGATACCCCTCCTGCGCGAGCTGCATTGGCTCCCAGTGGTCTTCCAGGTGCGATTCAAGGTGTTGGTTACCACCTTTAAAGCGCTCCATGGCATTGGACCTGGGTATCTTCAAGACTGTCTTCTGCCACCAGTAGCCTCCCACCGGCCAGTCCGCTCCCACAGAGTGGATTTCCTCAGAGGGTGCAATCGGCCAAATTATGTCGGCTGGCAACACCCAGGGGGAGGACCTTCTCTGTGGGAGCCCCTGCCCTTTGGAATAAACTGCCCCCAGAATTTCGTAAGATCTCCGATCTCCGTGTATTTCGCTGTGCCCTCAAAACCTTGTTGTTCCGCCAGGCTGGGCTATCAATGTAAAGATTTTAATCGGTTTTAAATATGGGATTTTAAATTTGGGGGTTTTATAATTGAGCCAATTATTTAATAATTTTAAATTATTCTTAAATTTTGTCCGTCTTTGTGCTTTTAATCAGGCTGTACACTGCCCTGAGTCCTTTGGGAGAAGGGCGGCATAGAAATAAAATAAAATAAAATAAAATAAAATAAAATAAAATAATAAAATAAAATAAAATAAAATAAAATAAAATAAAATAAAATAAAATAAAATAAAATAATAAAATAAAATAAAATAAAATAAAATAAAATAAAATAAATAAATACCAGTGGAATGGCTTTCATTCAGAAGTTGTGTTGAGGTTTTGAAGAAGAGACTGGACAGCCATTTAACTAGGGCAGTGATGGCTAACCTTTTTGCCATCTTATAGGGCAGTGATGGCTAACCTTTTTGCCATCTTATGCCAAAAGCAGGGGGAATGCGGGGTGGTAGTGCATGTGCGTGCCCACACCCATAATTCTATGTGCCTGCACCCCGTGCATGCGCCTGCGACCCCCCTGTGCTCCCTCCGCTTTTGGCATGTGTTGGCACGGTGGACCCAGTAGGCCTGCTTTTCGCCCTCCCCAGGCTCCAGAGGCTTTCTAAGAACCTGGGGAGGATGAAAACAGCCTTCCCCACCCCTCCGGAGGCCCTCCAGAGGCCAGAAACAGCCCATTTGCTGACTTCTGGTGGGCCCAGAAGGCCCAAAAATCAGTGGGCCAGTGCGCGCATGCGTGCTAGAGCTGAGCTAGGGCAACGCTCACGTGCCCACCAATATGGCTCCGCGTGCCATGCGTGCCATAGGTTCGCCATCATGGCTATAGGGTTTCCTGCTTGAGCAGGGGCTTGGACTATAAAATGTCCAAGGTTCCTTCCAACTCTGAATAACTATATTCCGTTATTGTAATTTTTGGCAGTCAACTTTACCGGAAGCAAGATTCGTATTGAGTCTTCTTTAATATTAAGGTATTAAAGGAAAGGAGATTAGGTTGCATAAATGTCCTAAATATACAGAAATATATCCTTGACTTGGGTATATTGATTAGAAAACTGATGTTCTTGCATATAAAAAAAGAATATATATATATATATATATATATATATATATATATATATATGATATGAAAAAGAAATCAGCTGATCAGTTGTGGGGTGATGTGGAAGGTTGCTGTGAGCTCTCTCTTGCTATATTCCATCCTTTCTTACAAGTTACTGAATTTGTCACCTAGGTTTCTTGTTACGATTATTATTGACAGTGGAAAGCAGCTGTGACTTTTGCTTAGAGCTACCAGTTATCTGAACAGGCAAAGGAGAAGACACACACAATTGGAAAAGAGGACAACGAAGCTGTTTAAATTTCTTGGCATCTATGACAAACGTTTCAATGAAAAGCTGCAAAAAAGTTCAACACTAAATTGACACCAGATAAAGGTCAACGGAATTCGGGAGGAGTTTGACTTGGAGTGCTTGTGGGAATGCAAGGACTCTAAACTGATGACATGCTTAACTCAACCCTCCAAGCTCTGCCTGTTCTTCTCACACAGGTTCCTGCAGAACCCTCTCTGATTTTTGTACGGGGAAGACTTGAACTGAAAGGGAAAATATACCCAATACATAATCAGGAAAACTGTTACGAAGAAGACAAAATGGACAGATTTCACTCCTATTAAAAGAGAGTGGTGCACATCTGCAGGGACATTCTTTGGGTCCTTCAAGGGTCCTTCCAGTTGCAGATTTGTCTCCTGTTCCTCCTGATGAATACCTGTATTCAAAGATGCACAAATGGCTTTATTGATTTGTGATGCTTGCCACACACAGAAGCACACACACACACACACACACACACACACACACACACACACACACACTGCCACCTCCCACAGAAGAAACATAGCATGAAAAAGCAGAAGAAAATAAGAACAGGCAGATATAATTAATCTTTCACTCACTGTGTCCACTCATGCATGCTCCTAACTCTGGGGTGTAAACAATCTTATCTTCTCAAATCATTTCCATATAGGAAGAAAGAGGCAGCCAGGGATATTTTGCTCCATTTTCCATCATTAAAAAAATTACTGGTACATGCTGGGAATGAAGACATTCCTGAGCTGAAAGAAAGTTGGAGAGAAAATTAGAGCATCACCGTTCATAAAATAAGCCAAAGGAGTAGGTTAGGGACAGACATTAAATCCTATGATCTTCTCTGGAAATGCTGTTCGGTGGGCATAAAATTGGATGCTAGAATCGCTTGGTGACACCCCTTTAAAGAGCAGAGAAGAGGTTATTTCTGAAAATCTGAGTTTATTAGAAGTGCGGGCAGAAACCAAGGAGCAGTTATCCTTGCTCAGTATAAGCAGAACCAGGGCAGGCTGCCTGGTCCAAGTATGCAGGCACTTCAAAAGCCTTTTAGAAACTAAACAGAACCTGAGTGGGTCTCTTCTGTTCAAGAAGACACACACAGGAAACACCTGCTAGCCCTGTGATGGCGAACCTATAGCACGCGTGTCACAGGTGGCATGCAGAGCCCTCTCTGTGGGCACGCGAGCTGTCGCCCAGCTCAGCTCCACCCCACATGTTCACACACCCCCGCACCCCATTTTGAGCCTCACTGCAGCCTCCTAAGACCAAAAATGGGCCGCAGGGTGGTTGCTCCTCCCACACACCCCGTTTTGGGCCTTGCAGGCCTCCCTGAAGCCTCCTGGGACCGTTTTTGGTCCCAGGAGGCTTCAGGGAGGCCTGCAAGGCCCAAAACGGGGCGGTGGGGGTCACGTACACATGTGCGGGGGGCAGGGGACCGGGGGGGCACTTTTGGCACACGACAAAAAGGTTAGCCATCACTATGCTAGCCTATCCTAATTCGGAAGACCAAACTGAATTCCTTCCAGAAGTTTCAGATTGTTTCTTCACCCAGAAACAAGAACCCTTGAAAACTGATATAAGTAGGTCCAGATGGGGGTGGAATTAGTGTCAAGTAAAGTCTCCTGCCCTGGACACTACAATTCATTCTCCAGATCCCATGAGGTCTTATTACCATCTCTCTTCAGAATCATCTGGTAGTTGGGATCTCTTCACCCAACAAGCCAGATGCTACAGCTGTAAATCCAGATCAAATGTAAATGCTACACTGCTCTATACTTCCTATAAATATGTCCAGGTTACCTAAGGGACCATCTCATCCCACTGGGATTGGCCCACCCCATCTGTGCTGGCAGAGGAAGCATGCTGTGCCTAAGGCAGGACTAGAACTTACTACCTCCTGGTGATTGGCCCAAAGTCACACAACCAGCTTTCATGCATCAGGTGGGATTAGAACTCACATTCTTCTGGTGATTGGTCAAACTCACCTAGTCCCTAAGGTGAGACTAGAACTCATCATCTTGTGGTGTTGACCCAAAGTCATCCAACCAGTTTTCATACCTAATGCTGGACTCATAATCTCCTGGTTTATAGCCTAGTGTCCTAAGGTAAAAGTAAAGGTAAAGATAAAGGTAAAGGTTCCCCTCGCACATATGTGCTAGTCGTCCCCAACTCTAGGGGGCGGTGCTCATTTCCATTTCAAAGCCGAAGAGCCAGCGCTGTCCAAAGATGTCTCCGTGGTCATGTGGCCGGCATAACTACTAGATGCCAAAGGCCCACGGAACACTGTTACCCACCAAAGGTGGTCCCTATTTTTCTACTTTCATTTTTTATGTGCTTTCGAACTGCTAGGTTGGCAGAAGCTGGGACCAATAACAGGAGCTCACCCCATTAAGTGACACTCGGGGTTTGAACCACTGAACTGCCGACCTTTCGATCGACAAACTCAGCATCTTAGCCACAGAGCCACGGTCCCTCCACCGTGTCCTAACCACTAGACTAAACTGGCTCTCTATATGAAGAACAGAGAAAGCAGCAGTACAATTCTAATCCGCTCTAAGTATCGGCCTTTTCAACATTCAGGTATTTATTTTTAAATCTCCCTTGAATGAAAACATATGACAGGAATGTGACAAATTGCCTCCTTTCTGCCCACCGCTAATGAGCACAGTGTCTGTCTGTCCTGTTTCATCACGGAAAACAAGAGTTGATCCATTTAGTTAATTTAATATCTATTTATTTTTAAGCAGTCTCCATATGTCTGCCAGTTTTTGAGTTTCCTCCTTCACCTCAAGAAATTAGAGGTGGGGGAGGGAAATTACCTTCATTTTTTCACAAAGCGCTTTTCCCAAACCGTCTTTAAAAATAATAAAATGTTTGCCCTCTATAAAAAATGTAGGAAAACATCCATTGGTTTCAATGGGAGTCTAATGTCATCTTATTTTTCTTTTATTAATTTGATTTATATGCCGCCCTTCTCCGGAGACTCAGGGCGGCTTACAATGTGCTCAGCAATAGCCTTCATCCTTTTGTATATTTATACAAAATCAGCTTATTGCCCCCACAACTGGGTCCTCAATTTACCTACCTTAGAAAGGATACTTTGCTGACAATCTTATTGTCAGCAAAGTAAGGTGTTTTTCCCCCCTTCAGACTAATATTAGACTTGCAAAACTCTTTTAAATGAGACAGGAAAATGCTATTATTATTATTATTTGCAATAGTTACTTTGATGAACTTGAGGTAACCTAACACGCTGTCTGGCATAAGACTGCAGGAAGGAAACTTGACGGAGTGACCCTCTTAAACTGAATTGTCATCTAAATTGTTAAATGAATTTGTGGGGTGCATCTTCCAAGCGTTTCAGGGTGATTCAAAGGCAAACGGGGGGAAAGTGTGGGGGGGGGCTTCATTGGTCTGGTTGACATGATTATCCTGCCAGTCAGCTCTGCCAAAATGCCTGCCCTCCCAGGTACTTATTATCATATGTGGTGGACTTGTATGAAAGCAAGAAAATATTGGAAGAAAATACATACTTGGTTGGAAAAGATGATTAAGCAACATATAGATCTGAAACCAGAAATATTTTTGTTGGGTATAATGCCTTGACAGTTTTGCATTTACTGACAGCAGCATATTGTATTTGCACAATATTGGGAAAAATGAGAACACTCCATCAGACGAGGATGTAATTCGGAAAATATTAGACTCTGCAGAGATGGACAGGTTGACTTTAAAAAGAAGACACAGAATATTACTTGATATGGAATAGATTTTATGAGCTGTTAGAGACAAGAGGTAGAAATTAGATGAAGAAATACTATTGCTATGCATGAATTAAATATAAATATGGTTTATAATTATAAATATGTCAATATAATTAACAGAATTATAAATAAGCTAATATAAAGAGAAAGTTAGCCAAAACTATTCTGTTACATTATTACTATTATCAGTATATGTGTTAATATTTGTTTTTGTTCACTCTTTGTTTTTCTTTTCTAAATGATATACCCTGACAATACATTGTATCAGAGGTCGGCTTCAAAAATTTTAGCAAGGGGTTCACTACCTAGTTGCTGGGTGGGTGTGGCCATGGTGGGAGTGGCCTAATCGGCCTCCTGCACCACAGCAGATGGGGTGTTTTTGCCTTTCCTCAAGCCTGTGGGAGGGCAAAAATAGCCTCCCCAGGCTCCAGAGGCCCTCTGGAGGCTGGAAATAGGCCCATTTTCAGCCTTCCTGAACTTCCGGTAGGCCCGTTTTTTGCCCTCCCTGAGCCTCCGCACGCACTCTGCACCAGTGGTGGGTTCCTCCCGGTTTGGTCCGGTTCGGCTGAGCCGGTAGCGATGACGATATGACGTCACCGAACTGGTTCTCCCCCCACCCGCCCTCCCACCTCCCCACGTTATTCTTACCTTTTATTTGGTCCCACCCCCAATCTATTGCTGCCTCCTTGAGTCCCAGCTGATGACTAGAAGGAAAAAAACTGTTTAAACTCTTGCTGCGGGGCTTCAAAGGGCCATCCTACAGCTGATCAGTGTTAAAAGCAAACAAATGAGTCGGGTCGTAAGTGCGAGGACTAGTCGTAAGTGCGAGGACCTTCCAGAAATGACTCTGACCAGCTAGCCACGCCCACCTAGTCACATGACCTCCAAGCCACACCCACAAAATAAGCCACACCCACCGAACCGGTAATAAAAAAATTTAGAACCCATCCCTGCTTTGCACTTACCTGCATCCAAAACGGGCTGCGTGGGGACTCCTGGGAGGAGAGGAGAGGTGTGGGCATGGCCGGGGCCAGCCAGGAGTGGGATTTGGGAGTTCTTCGAACTGCACAGAATCTTAGCTAGAGGTTCTCCCGAACCCCTGCGAACCCCCAGCAGCCCACCCCACAGTGTATTCAAAATGTTTATGAATTTTTAAAAAATGCCTGCCCTCTCAGTAGAACAAGAGGCCTCAGAGCTGTAGTTTTTTTTTTAACCTACAATAAGGACTTAGGTCTTGAAGCGCTTTTCATAAGCCCATTATTCGTGTATCGGTGTGTGTCTTTACATTTGTGCTTGTATCTGTGTGTCTTTGTGTGTGCCTTCAAGTCAACGTTGAGTCCTGGTGATTGCCTGGACAAGTCTCTGTAGCTTTGTGAGCAAGATTTCAGATGTGGTTGACCATTGCCTCCTTCTTAGGGCTTAGAAGATGGTGACTGACCTGAGGTCACCCAACTGGCTTTCTGACTAAAGAAGCTGAAGAAGCTTCTTGGATGAGAAGCGAAACCTCTTCAAAGAAAAAAAAAACCAGACAGTCCAGTTGACTTGTGAAAAAGTATCTTTGCAACAACCATGACTTGGATGACTGAGAATCTCCATAGATACTTTGTGGCTGAAGTGTGAATTTCACACTTTGTGAATTCACCACCTCCTAGTTTCTATCCTGGTGCCTTAAACATTATACCAAATGTTCTCACCTAGGCTCCCTTAAAAAACAGGAAGCAGAGTCTTGGTCTCGGCAAAATCTCTTTTATTTACACGACTGTGGATTCCTTTCATTCACAGTCAACAAGGCCTGTCCAAACAGTTTTTCAAAGGAATATTTATCAACACAGACCTTATCTCGCTTGGAAAGCTGCCAGATAACTGGTGTCCAAACGCAGTACAAGGCAAAACTTGGCACAGAGTTTCTGAGAGTCACGGAACGAACAAATTGTTTACTGCAAAAGCCCCCTCCCCATTCACTCCTCTTTTATTTCCTATGGGAGGGACCAATCACCTTCAAGGTGTGGCTTTACTGCCAAGTTGACCCTGCTTTCTCAATTGTTCTTGTCTTCTGGCAGCACACTGCCAGAACGGGCTCCAGCTGTTCCTCTGCCTCACTGCTGTCTAGCTCCCTCTCTGCCTCTGACTCAGAGCCCTTATCCGAGCTTTCCCTAGCCCCCAAGACTGACCCATGTTCCTCCCCAACCTCCTCACTGTCCGACTCTGCTGTCAGCTCCACAGGCTGCCGGCAAGCCACAACACCAAATTGGCCTTCTTTCAGATTATTTATAAACTATAAAAATCTCAAATTGAGCATTTCACTGACACTCCACAAACACACACACCCAAACACCTGAACAAACACACAGAGACCCCCACATGCACATTTCTTTCTTGATACACCCTGAGCATTCAGTCTGTCTGACACGCTAAATTCGGTCCCTATTGTGCGCGTTCAGATTTCATTGTGCTGTGTTTTTAGTGGATCTAAATAAGCTCCGTTCAAAATGTTTTAAATAAATAAACTTGGGAGGGAGTATTGATTCAAACCTCTGGATCTCTCCAAGCATGATAAACCTTTCCTTCTTTTCACCTCTCAAAAGCCCCGTTTAGGCTGCAACCAGAATTCAAAATCATTTGTGTTTGTTTAATTTTAGTTTTATTTTTGAAGAAAAGAGAGTAAAAGAAATGCAGATCCTGGATGAAGCATCTTTTAAACCTAGACTATTTTAAAAGCAAAGAGGAAAAAAAGCTTTCCACTTGAATTTCCCATAACAACAATCTTGTTCTGTTCTGCTGAGGGTTGTTGTTGTTGTTGTTGTTGTTGTTGTTGTTGTTGTTGTTGTTGTTGTTGTTGTTCTTCTTCTTCTTCTTCTTCTTCTTCTTCTTCTTCTTCCTCCTCCTCCTCCTCCTCTTCCTCTTCTTCCCCTTCTCCTCCTTCTCCTTCCTCCTCCTCCTCCTCCTCCTCCTCCTCCTCCTCCTCTCCTCTCCTCCTTCCTCCTCTCTTCTTCTGCTTTTTGGATCATTAAACGCCACTTTGCACTGTCAGCTGCGTCTCCAGGGCGCAGGCCTGCGGCTTGTATGTCTTTGTTCATGATGTCTTACCATCTGTGTTTTGGACACCCTCAAGGTCGCCGGCATT